GATTTGCTCCAGTTAGCTAGGGCACTCTCTTCCTTCCAGATACATTCGAATACGGAGGCCGGTGTTTTGTAGAGGACCTCACCTCCATCCTTAAATAGTGCAGGTGGGAGGAAATCCGGGCCAGCGCCAAGAAAAGGACTGAACGCTGTGATCGCGTTTCCGACCTCGGCCTCCGACGGAGTCTCTAAAATAACCGTTCATGGCCCGTTCTGCATCACCTGAGTAGGAAGAGGTCCGGCAGCAGGGAGCCAGCTGAACTGATCTCGAAAGTGTTCCGCCCAACGAGCCATACGGCGCTCCTAATTGTGTATCAGTGCACCCGCACTGTCTCTAAATGGCTCACTGACGTCTGGTTCCCAGGGACCAGTAGTGCGGATTAGCTGGAAGAGCTTGCGGTAATTGCCTACTGCTCCTGCCTCCTCCATTTCTTTAGCCCTACTGGTCCACCAGGTTTCCTCGTCAGCAAGTAAGCTCCGCTTTAGTTCGCGCCTAGTAGCCCGTCTGGTCACACTGTTCTCAGAGCCAGACGGGAGGTGTATGTTGGATACCACAGGTTCACCGACCTCTCGGATATCCAGTGACTGATGCGGTGACGACTGATGGTGCCACAAGCGGATGCTCCAGCGTCGTGCATCGCGGCCGAGATCCCACTCCACTGAAGCTCAGTGTCATTAGGCCAAGACAGCGAAACTTCGGTATGCAATGCGTCTTGATAGACTTGCCTGATCGAGGGTTGAGACAATTTCTCAGTTGCCAATCGGAGGAAACGCTTGGTGGACCTCCCGGTAAAGTTCATGGAGAAACGACAGCGCACCAAGCCATGATCAGAGTCGACGCAGGTACTCCAGTACGAGCGGCAATCCAGGATGGAACCACGCCACCCGTAACTTATGGCTATGTGGTCAATTTGGGTCCATCGTTGGCCAGCTACAGGTGGACGCCAAGTGGCACTTCGGCGCCCACTGTGTCTAAAAACAGTGCTACTAGGAAACAACTGATGCTCTGTACACAGTTGCAGCAGACGCTCGCCGTTGTCAGTCCGTTCGGAGTTAAGCCCATAATTACCACCCAGCTGAGCTTCTGAAGAGCTCAGACGCCCTACTTGTGCTTTCATATCCCCTACAAGTACTATAATATCTGAACTAGCAACACTGCGTAGTAGCGCGTTCAGTTCGTGATAGAATGTGTCCTTGACAGCATTTGAACTGCATTCGGTGGGAGCATAAACGGAAATCACAAACAAACAGCGTTTTGTACTACTTCGTGGATCAACCTTAGCTGATATCGTCAAACGGGCTGCACATAAACGGCTGTTCACCGGAATCCAATCAACCAACGATGGCTCAGCCTTGAAGCTTAGAATGATACCTACACCAGCATGACCCTTGAGTGCGGCATCGGCGTCTCCGGATGCATGTAACCAATAACGAGAGGATAAGCCGGGTGCAGTTAATTCAACAACCCCATTAGGGTCATTGATCCTAGTTTCTGACACACAACACACATCAATATCCTGTGTGTCCAAGATGCGTGCGAGTGCAGCCTGTTGATCTATTGGTCTCAAAGTGCGTACGATGGAAGCCGCCATGGAAACTGGACAGCGTGGCCTTATATGGGGCGGTTGCCGATAGGCGTTCGATGAGTGTCGAGAGAAGGTGGCTGTAGATGGTTCTAGTCCAGTGGCACTTCGGTTGCTGTCAATTAAGCTGGGAATTATAGAAGGAAGGTTAGTGAAAGGGTCGGGGTGGGAGTAAAAGAAACAGGTGGAAAAGAAAGAAGGGAGGCACCAGCAGTAGCAAGTTTTCGCGTATCCGCCCTGCTGTAGGCAGCAGATAAGGCGAACCTCGATAATCTGCGCGACGGCCGATGCAGGATGAAGTTTATATTGGAAGAAAAAGTCATAGTTGTGTGTGAGCTGAGATACTGCCAGGGCGCCCAGACCTAGACAGGAGGACGATTAGGGTCCTCAACCAAAGCCTTTGGCTCAAAAGCCTGCCCACAAGGCAGCAGAGAGGTGGGAATGATATGGTTTTACAGAAATGGACGACATCCCATTTCAAACCCCAAATCTGGGGGAACAGGAGACTGTTTTCTGACCTCTCACCATTGACCTACCTGGCAGGAGTAGGTTTCAAGGGGCCCGGAGGCATCACCCAGTATAGCTCAATGGGTCAAGGAGGTACGCAAATCGTCGAACCACATTAAGATCCAGTCTCGTTGCGACGGATGTAATACACACAGCAGCCCCTTACATTCAGTACGACCTCTTCCAGCTGTCAACTCAAACCAGGATACTACTGGGTTGATGAGAGGTTGGAGTGGCTTTGATTTTAATCGCTTCCAATGAAGGCCCCGTGACTGGTTTCGTTCCCATGTAGGCACCATAAGGAAAGATGACGAGAAGATGTTAAAACTGTGAATCTGTGATTGATAACTAAGCGCATCAGATCCACGAACACCCGACTCCAAAAGCAATGCTTTGGACAATGACTGAGAAACGAATACTGAGAATATTCAGCGAGTAGAGATGCCTCGGTGTAGCTACATCTAATATCTTTTAAGCAAAGCTACCTATTATTATGATTAATCTCAAAATCTCAAGTCGGCAAAGTGCGAGCCCAGGAGTTTCTTAAACTCCGACACCGACTTTGCTTCGACTATGTCGGCAGGCAGGCTGTTCCAACTATTAAACACCCTCCGCTGGAAGCAGAGTTGGTGAGCGACCCGCCTCTAATCCGGTACGACAAGCTTGTGCCGGGGTCCTTGTGTGCTGCTTGATATGTGCAGATGAAGCAACGGCCTCCACATGGTGTAGTATTCGATGCGTCATGATGAGGCCAATCCGCATATGGCACACCTCGTAAACCGGGAATGAGCCTTGTGGTCACGTGCTGTGCCCGCTCAATCCTCTGTACCTCACCCCGGGTGAGTGGACAGTAGGCGGGTAAGCTAGTCTGATAATAGAAGAGGCGAGGGGCAACCACTTCGGACCAAATGCAGAAGCTGCGTAGGAGCGTCCAGAGTATGCGCATTCTGTTTTGGTAAAGCCTGTTCGTGTTTTTAACGGATTTCAAATCGCAGCGTGAGAGCACGCCGAGATCTCTCACCAATGGTGATGGGTGTAAGTGTTGGCCGGCCAGATTGTAGACAGCCATTACGACCCTTGCCCAGGCTCATGAATACCGACTTGACCGGGTTGATCGGAAGATTGACCTTTGCTGACCACATGGAGAGGCGGAAAAGATCACGCTGAAGCAGGTCGCAGTCGTCGGGCGCCTCAATTGCTTTCCATACCTTAAGGTCATCTGCAAACAGCGCGCAAGGGCAGTTGAGAAGCTGAGGCAAATGGCTGATGTGGATCGGGAACAGAATGGGTCCAAGGACTGTGCTCTGTGGGACGCCACTGATCGATGGATACCACTCGGTCTCAAGTGGTTGTCCACCTGCACCCTCCATGTCCGGGCAATAAGGAAGTCACTGAACCACTGCTGCAGGAAGGCCACCAACACCGCACAGGCTCAGCTTCTGTCGGAGGATCTCATGGTTCACCTAGTCAAACGCGTTACTGAATTCGATGTAAATGGTGTCAACCGATTTCCCTTGGTTTAGCGCTTGCAACCATTCATGCCTCAAGAGCAGCAGGTTTGTGACACATGACCGACCTTGACGCGTAGTGTAATATTTGGGCTGGTTAATCAGCTACGCGCCAGGATGGTGGTGCGCAGTCTCATTGGGGACTGTGAATTACTGCAAAGCGAAACCCAGATATCTTCATCATATGCACCGTGGTTAACCCAATCTACGGCTAACAAAGCATCGCAGTTGGCTTCGAATTGCCGTGACACACGTGCATTGGTGTCAAATAAATTGCTGATGAGGATTTAAAAAGAAAGATCTGTCATTTAGCAACCAATGTGTATTGGCTCCACTAACTGTCGAAAGATCGACGAACAGAGATTTATTATAGATCAAGAAGCTTTTCTTTACAGAGGTTGTCAGGAAGTCTGGCCAAAGTTCGATAAAAAATCCAATTGCTTCTTTTATGTGTACATGAGTCATCGGTTCTACTATCTATCGTGTTCCGTTGTATCAAAAAGAGGCGGCTAGCAAAGCCAGGGTTTTTATCCAGGAAGTCGAAGGAAAGTTAATTCTTTGTGAATAGATAGCCGACCTTTGTCAAGCCACCTACAAGTTATGGCTAATGTGACCAGCGGAGTGATCAGGATACGATCACGATAATCAGTCCCTGACTGTATAAACGACCTGTAATGACCCGCGTGCTATGTTTGCTACGAGTCATGTACGTCTAGACATGAATTCCTTACCAACACCGAAAGTTGACGAAGATCATATCAGTCTACGGAGCAAGTCACTGATGCAAAGCGTTGATTTCGGAGCGATGAGAATCCAAACCAACAAATCGAAAAGGTAGATTAGGCTAAGATCTTCGAACAACCTATAGAACAGTGAGAATCGACTAGAAAGCGACTGTGTGGCAATTCGAGAAAAAAGTATACCCTGTGGTTTAACAAAAGACCGAATCGGACGATGGAAAGATGAGCTTGTCTCGTAATCTTGCGGCGCAGGTTCGAATTCGCGTAGAGGTGGGCGTCATCGCGGTATATTGAGCACGCGTGAGACAGGTGGTGGTCGCACGCGAACGAAACGCCGTTACGGCGTACAGCTGACACATTAGTTTGTTTTTAAGATACATGACGAGAGGTGCTAGTGTATGGAAGTGAACTGGTTACATCGATGGAGTAGGAGGAATTCACACACTTAAGTTAATCAAGCTACACCGGCGTCGGACAGTTCGTGACCGAATGCAGTCATTCGCCCACACGAACAACCCAAGGTGCTCAACGGATAGCGGATCAATTAGGGGAGATGCTACCAGCGGAAAACTCGGTACCATTGGTTGGACTTGATTTTAGCTAGGTTGATTTCACCGACTCGGGTACATGGGAATAATGCAAATGAGAAGGGGAAGATAAGCGATATCCTGTAGGCAACTGTAATGAGGCTAACGGATCAACAATGCGCCCGAATGTTTTGAAAGGAAGAAGTGGTTTCAAAACTCAAACAGGCATCAGCAAGAACTAAGGATTTCCCCTATCCAGGATAAGGCAAATAAGAAAAATCATAAGGACACCACCAACTTGAAGGTTGTGGCAATAGAGTGTATAAAAAGCATCTGATCAAAACACAACAGGCTAGTGTACAATGGGATTTAGAGGTTCAGCACGTAACGCCGAAAAATCGATACGCCGATCAAGATCTTCATCCAATTCACCGACCACAGCCCTGAGGAGAGAAATGCAACAGTAAGAACATATGCCAATGTGCAACCGTGAGTATAGATACAATACGTTTACATATTGAATAATTAAGTACACAATACTGAGTACGAATAAAGGGAGTATACAGCGGTTGGCTGGAGCAATTGGTCACAAGCGATAGGTGAAGTTCCTCAAGGCGAAGAAGAAGTACTAAAGAAAGTTTGTCAATTCACTGATTATGGTAGCTGCGATGGCAGCGACCGGCTTCCGACTGCTGTGTGTCAAGCACAGTGTAATCCAAAGCTCAGTTTATGAATTCAGATCACTTAGTATGCTAGTAAGAGACTTCGTCCGGTATAATATGCCGCGTAGACTGAGTCACATGAGTGTCATAGTCAGTGACATTGAAATATGGCCACTTCGGTGTGCGGATTTTAGGCACCATGAGGTTTTCTATAATCGTTTCCTGTGGAGCATTGACGATGTCAGCCTACACCGACGTACCCACAGCGTCGAGGTGCACGATCGATTACTAGGCAGTGGTGATCGGGTCATCCCGGTAGATCGATGAACAAGTAGATAAGTTGCGTTGGCTTTGGTACATGCTATATATATCCACTCATGGAGGAAAACTGTGTTCCGTTTACCGAAGCTTGGATGGTGTTACACCCATGGGATGCAATCGCTGTCCTTGTATTGGGAGATGAAGCTTCAGACCACTTGGTTGGGTGTTGTCATCTGATCTCCTCTTATAATCCATAGTCCACGCGATGCGCACTCTAGTTGGTTGGAGGCACGAAAAGTCGACTCCCGATCCGAACCAGCACCGCACGTGCCGTAGCCCCCTATCTGAGCTGCCTGCTTAAAGTGCTTTTAGTGCAAAGTCATCAGTGTGCTTGAATCGATTGTGACGCAAGAGGATGAGGACTACTATAGAAGTGCCTCGTAGACACCGATTTCCTCTCAAATGAGTGTTTTTGGTCGCGTGTTCCTGAAAAGGGTTAAGACGTTTACTTGCTATATTAGGCACACTCTCCTTACCAGTGTTTCTCACTAATGAGGTCACTATGGTAACGCGGTGGTAAATCACTTATGCACCGCCGTTGTTGGTGACGTTGATCGCGAGGACAGCTCGATGTGACCTAACTACTCTTTGACCTCCATTTCCACTGCAATGCTGGTGCTGTTCATCTTTGGTTGGTGAACATCATTGCTTACCGAGTTATTTTATGCAGTATGCGGTACAACCATGGAACTGACAGAGATAGAAGACCCGTGTCAGATCTAAGCTGATTATGGGATTAGTGTGCGCCGATATGACGAGCGAAAACCACGTCTGATACGGGGCGCCTGTGTGCGGCATTAGGTCTCTAAGTAATAAGCCTACACTCCTGTCGATTTGTCATTTTCTGAGAGAACCGAGTCATAACAAAGTAGGAACATAAGGAGGCTAATTGTTACCGTCCTTTGTTGCCCAATGGTCACACACATTGAGACGTGAGAGGAGGGTGGAGAACTCTAGCCCCACAATGGATAGAAGAAATACTGATGAGTAATTGTGGCATCCTGTTGTGCATCTCCTATGGGCTATCTGCATATGCAACCTTATGTCCGCATACAGCTCAACCACTCATCGATTGGTCTAATTTAAAACACATGATCGATGGTTTTACAAAATACCAGTTAGAAAATAAAATCTTAACGATTTGTCCCAGAAGCTCACAAACTAGATAGTCTGAACACCAATCTGGAAAAGCACCAGACGGCCGGTTCGCGCTACTGGGGATTGTCAGTAATGAGCATCCTCCGGTTCCATCAGGAACAGAACCCATTGACCACTAGCAACCCGCGCAACTTGCCAGTAGCAGGGGGACGATGGTAGACCGTGGTAACTCGCAAGCTAGTATGGCATACAGTTTGGCGACCGTTTTCGTGATGTGTTTGCTTTGTAGTACTTCGGCTACGAGATTGATACTGAGCATTAGTTCCGCACTTGCTAGTCTAGACCGTTTGGCGACTGAGGTCAAATTTGGATGTATTTGCTATGAGCCATCTTACTCTACCTGAGTCGTCCTAGAAGGACAAGTTGTCTAAGCTATCGTTGGCATCTAGAAATGGTTGAAAACGAATATTCGGTGACCACCTTATGTTTTCATAATCACAAATCTCCACATTAATCTTACTGAGATTCTACACATCAAACTGATGAGACAACACTTAGGTGAAGCCGGTCAAAAGTATCTTGATGCGTTACGTCTTGGATGGGCTTCGGAAACCGCAGCAACATATCTTTGCATTAAATCTAAACTTTTCCAAATTACTAGAGAGAGATGATATTAACGAATTCAACTGCCATATAAAACAGCAGTATTCAACAGTATACTGACGTTCTAGTAAATTCCCCCCACAAATTTGTAGAGATAATAGCCATCCAATGCCTATTGGTTGGTATCCGAAACAATAAAGCCATGAAACGTCTGCATTCAGAAGACCAGAACAAGCTTATTGTGGAAACAGCATGCGCACTGGTCAGATAAAGGGAAAATGTTGTGCAGCAACTAGCTCATTATCGAAGCGATACTCCTTCAGATGCAGCCTACCAGATCAAAATTCGATTGTCATTAACCAGCGAAGGCTATGTTACGTATTGCCGATGCCGTAAAAAGCATGAGAAGGTTATTTTCATTGTAGACACAAACAGCCTACTTACCACAAGTGCGGTGAGGTCGGACATACTGCGCGCGTACTCCGACTATATTCCAACGACCCCATTCTGCCCAAGGTACTGTACAAACAATGGGAAACTGACAAATCCATCGTCCACCTAAGTTTACACACAACATTGAAGGTCAACCAATGCGTCTGGGGAATTCGGATACATTAATCAACAATCGAACATTGCCTGATTTGACCCTGACTCCGACCCAATCCAAGTGAGATTCCTACATTGGAGAGTCGTCTGATGTATTTGACACGTGTGACGTAAGGACAAATCGTGGAACCGATCCGCTGAATTTTCCCCTAATCGTTGTTAACACAGATAGACCGAACCTACTTGAAGTGCATGTCGCAGATACTTCAAACTGTCGAAAAGGTGGATCGTAACGAGGACATACACGCATTCTCGAAAGGTTTTGCCCCGTCTCGTGATGGCTGTTTCATTGAGACTAGTGATGATGAATTTATAACTTGTGACATCTTCACCCCCTTCTCTTTCAATGCTCTGCATGTGAAATGCAGCACTCTTGCCAGTGATACATCGCAGCTCGGATCATACTCAGCAAATAAATTAAGATGAAAGCAGTGGCATTTCCAAACCAATTTCAGCACTAGTCCAACCCGTCGAGTGATGGACAAATAGGATTGATAGGCGAATTCGCGATGTAGTGGCCTGGCGTCATTAGGCGGTGATCAACGCTTGTCCAAACGGTGGAGATTTCACTCCAGGGTATCAGCGGTGTTTAAAACACAACCGCAACGTTGATGTGTATCCCCGAAGTGTCATGAGATAAACACTGACTGTTTAGGGTATTGGTACCTGCTACCCGGATGACAGTCCAGGAATAATGTCTAAGACCGGGGGTGCATGTCGCAGTACAGGAACCAAGCGGGTGCGCAAGATACAAAACTAAACTTAAATGACGCATAACGCACTGTACTGAGCTGACCAGAAACGAGACTCACTGTGGAGACAGGTATCACAAAGGATGCCCAACCGAGTCGGGAATATGCACACAGTAAACAAATCCCATGGGATCATCAAACACCCAGCATAACGGATTAGATTTCTCCGCATCGGAAAGTCGAAAGAACCCTATGTGGCCGATGGAGAGAGCTGCTCTTCAACCAACATGACACCATCCTACAAGTAGGTAACAATGATGACAAGGTTAAAGATCTTCATGCCAAGAACGAATGACCAGAACTTCAATAATTGCGCTGATTATCGGTGCTTAGGGCGCGCAGTATCGCAAGCAAGTATGAAGTGCAGAAATAGAATGACCAGTCCCCATAAACAGAAAAACAGCAAAAACCCGATAAAATCATGAGTGCAAAGAGTAATACAAGGGTTACATTAATACCGACGGTATTAGACATTGACGAGTTTCTCTCCTTGCTCACATCATTTCATGGAGAACAGCGTCAGTTGAATTTCGGAAACGGTCTCTTGCGAGATGAACGCATGTATTAGTTCCAGCTTATTTAGATCGCTATCAGCTATTGGTATTGGTATTAAAGAGTTGAATGCGCAAGATTGTTGATCTAGTCTATCCTCACTGCCAGTGAGTAATCACTTCAAAACATTTGAGATAATCTAACCTCGAAGAGCCAGTAAAACTAGTTAAGAAAATCGACACTCTGTTCCGACGCCCTGATGGCCCGCAGCCGATTTGATAGGTGCGAGGTGGTTTCGGTGGCTAGTAACTAGTAGAACTGGCATCATCAAACTTCTGCCCCAAAGATACTAATAGTCTGAGACGTTCGCTCGCACAATAATGATTAGTGGAAAATTCGCGAAATGTTGGGCAACTAGGATTCAACCGGCAAAATGTCAGCAAGTGAAGGAGTACGGTAACAAAACTTCTGCTGGCAAACCCCAGCTGAAAGATTTCGGCGCCAATGGATACGAAGGATGCTACTTATGTTAATCATAACCAATATCCTCAAAGCTCAGTGTATGAGTCCCTGAGGTCTGCACAAAAACGCCGGCGATACATCAGCGTTGGAGACCCCACGGTTGATGGATGTGCTGAAAGATGAACGTCCTTGGGGGTGGTTGAGGCCTTGAAGGGCTATATGAGCCTTGGCGAGGCGCGCGTTTATTAATCCGGTGAGCTGAGAGTAGGGTGTCATGCGGCTATCAAATAAGGGAAGCGATCGACCACCTCGAGTGTTCGTTCGGTGACAGAGAGAGATGTTGGTGTGTCAGTTAGTCATGTGGTATGTACCGCTGCACCACTGTTGTGTATCACATTGAAATGAGGCTGGGGTCACGTAAGGAATAGTCCAGTTGCCTGGCCCAAAAACAGACATCAGAAACTATCACCCGATTAATTACACGTCCACTGTTGCGAGAGTAATGGAGTGTATAGTCAAAGAGAAAACAATAAACCATTTTCTCTCACAAAACCTGATTAACCAGACTCAGCATGGCTTTATACAAAAAAGATCATGTTAAAGATGTCAGTTGGAATTCCTGAATTGTTTGGCGAGCTCTGTGGATAATGGCCATGTAGCCATCACCGGTTTCATCGACATGTAAAAGCATCGCCACCTGTTAGAGGAAATGTTGCAATTTGGCATCACAGACCCCTTGCATGCTTGGTTCAGATACTAACTTACTGATCGCAGCAAACAAGTTCAAATAGGTATGCATAGGTCATCATCACTGGCTGGTACTAGGGGTGTAATCCAAGGGAGTGTCTTTGGTCCACTACTATTATTGATGTCCATTAATGACATAATAGAAACTATTAAAAATGGTATATCCTATCTTTGCGCTGATGATATCAAGGTACTGTGCACGTTTAATACTAGGAATCTGGAACACTCTTCTTTGAATAAGATACGGAGAGACTTATTAGCTCTCGAAACATGGTGCAACATGGTGCAAATGTCATTCGCTGCTGACAAATGTGAATTTTAGCATATCGATGCTGGAAAGCCAGTTCCATTCCGTAATACAATAAGAGATTTGGGTATTCATTATTCAAGCACCCATAATTTCGGGGAGAAGATCGAACTCATAGCAGCCAAAGCCTGCCAAACAGCGCGGTTAATCTTCACATCAGTTGTGTTGCCTGATCTCAAGCTGCATATGTTCAAGATCTGCGTGCGCCCTCTTTCGAAATACTGTTCTATGATATTTGCCACTGTAGGAAACGCGGTCATCTATGCCTGGAGAATGTGCAACATCGAGTCACCAAAGCCATAGTTAACGAACCCCCAACATCAAAGTATTTAGAGCGATGTATTCTGCTTAAATTACAGCCTTTATTGCTACGGAGGTTGAAACTGGGCCTAAACTTTCTGTTCGACTTAGTGCACAAACAGGCATTTGAACCGCACAGTAGTTAACATTTCATTCAGTATAGAAAGTATAACATTAGGAATAAGAGAGATTCACTTCCCACAAGTAGAACAAAAACAGCATACGCAGGAAGTTTTATCTGACGAAGTACGCGGATATCTGGAACGGATTGTCTATTGCATTAGAACTATGTGAGTCTAAACAATTGTTGCAAGTCAAAGGACTTGTGAAACTGGACTACAGAGTGGTGGAGTCAATGTATGAAGAAGGGGTTGAAGTATAGGGACCCTGGGACAACTGAAAGATAATATGTGCAAACTGTCTGAATAATATGTTCTTCGTTAAGGGAAACCAAGAAGCCATATAAAACTAATGTGCCTTTCTCTCTTTACATTGGCTGCGCACTGATAATTGTAAATTCTTCTTTCCCGGAGAAAACAACTCAACTACCTGTGACAGTTCTTGGTGCTGTGTGCCGTCCACTTTCCATACCAATAACTCTACAACTCGATTGTCTGGAGTCGATGGATCTATCACAAAATCGTTCATAGAGCCGTTTTTTCCTCATTCTTGTTTTTTTAGATCTATTCCCTACTTATAATCTGAAGCAAAACTTATTAGATATATCCCACTCATTTACCATCATCAGTATTTCGTCACCTTCTATACTACTTCTTTCCATTGTTGACTACGACAGGACCGATCTCCCGAGATGAAGGAATGAAGCTTCTGGATTATTTAATACACCCACGTGTGGCGAATTGTCACAGATCTATTGGCGAGAAAACATATGCCTACTCAAGGCAAATTGGAATACACTCGTAGAGTGAAAGAACTGTCATACTTGAGTTAGGAGCCGAAATGGGCTGAACGGCCAAAAAAGTATTTAAAAAATGAAAAACAGAAAGCTCACTTACATCTGCGAGCCTATTACCCATTAGATATAACAACGGCCATAAAAGTGAGCTAGTACAGTGATGGTTTGCTTGCTGCTATGCCACATCGACACGAAACCAAATGTGACGCAGTAGTGCGGATGAAACCTTTCGAGAGACTACCCCCCGCATGGAAGCAAGTCCCCAGGAGTCGGTTCAACGGATAGCCGTATTAATTCTATTGTGGTTTTTTCAATAAACACTTTCATCTTTTTTAAACTCTTCATTTTACTATTTATATTAACTGAATTCTCCATAAAGCCGATCTTGAATGGTTCTGGAAAATTTGAGATAACATCTGCACGTTGAGATGTTTTACCAAATGATCAGTTCAAGTAGTGAGACTGCAACTCGCACAGTTGACAAACATACATTCATTCAATGAAGGGTCCCACAAGAAGTTAAGGGGTTGTACCTTCAGCAACCAAGAGATCACCAGACAAGGAATGAAAGGTCAGAAAAGGTAGGTAACACGGGGATTATACCGACTTACACATTTTGACCACGAATAATGAATAAGCCGAGGGGAACGTGTTCTACACCATCTGTCGGACTGAATACTCGTTCCTGGCAGTCTTTGAGGACCAGATTGATCACGTTGTCAAAGCCTTTCAATGTGCCCTGCGTGGAGGATTATGGACGAAAGTTGAACAATAAGAGATAAAATCTTGATTGTGCATGTAAGTTAGCACGGAAAACAACATATATATATCATAAAATTGTGAGGAGCTGTTCCTAAATTAGGAACAGCTCATATATATATATATATATATATATATATATATATATATATATATTCTTAGAGGTACTGCATGGACCCACCTTAGAGCCAATGAGGAAGGTAGTGGATGCTACCTCTGGCGCTGTCTGCAAAAGGATACAGAAATCATGCAGAGATGGCGAAAACACTGATTCATGAACAAATTTTCAGAGTGAATGGGATATATTGCACGAGCTGCAACAAGATCGGAAGAACGGTCTCGACGACACCCCGAGCCCGCATGAAGCTCAGAGAGCACTTGCTCAGCTGCGAAACGGCAAGTGCGCCGGAGTCGACGGGATGCCGTCAGAAGTGTTGAAGAATGACGGACCAGTAATACAACACATGCTGCACCACTTGGTGCATCGCGTGTGCTCTGAAGGACAGGTGTCAGGTGAGCTGGAGAATGCCTTGTGCTATCACTGTACGAGAGCAAAGAAAGCAAGGTACCAAAAGTTGTTCGGTTGCGTCGGGAAAGTTATAGCTCGTATTCTATTCCACCACAATGCCACTCAGATCTTTGAAATAAAGATGACTGAAGAGGCATGGGGATCCCGATGTGACGGCAACACCGTAAATATGGCGATTAAGGTTCATCAATTGCTGGACAAATGCCGTGAGCCAAACCAACTACCGTACTTTCAGTTCATTGACTTCACCAACGCATATGACAACGTGAAACGCGGCTCGTTTTCCACAAGTCCTGGTAAATAAATCCGTCTAATTGAGCGTTATCACAATGGTGTGCGGACGAGAGTGTAGCTGTGTGGACGAACATCGGATGGCTTCGATTTTGTTTACGTCGTGAAGCAAGGCAGTGTCTCAGCCACTACCTTGTGTGATCTTTAGCTAACTGCAATGCCATCTCTGCTTTCAATGCATGTGATTACGGTGTCCATCTCGAGCACCGTATCGATGGAGGGTTGGAGAACATACATCGCTTCCAGATGAGAACCTGAATAAATGGGACAACTGTCGACGACTGCGCATTGTGTGCACACAGTGAGGATGAGTTACAACGCTAGACGATGGCTCGCTTCAACGGCCGCGAACTTCGGACTCGTCAGCAAGACTGTCTTTTCCAACCGTCACCAGGAACGAAGACCACGAGCTCCTACGAAATGAAGATTACTGATGTACCTTTGGAGCATACCATCTACGGTCCTGTAGATGACCAGCGAGCTACGCATCCCCAATCGGAAGGCCAGTGTTGCATTTGGCAATTTGGAACCCCGGATCTGGAAGAGTCATAGGATGACCGCTGGGACGAAGCTGTCGGTGCACCGGTCGGTTCTCCTGTACGGCAGCAAAAGATGGACGCTATGCCGGAAGAAGGTCGGTTATATGAGGCGCTTTCAGCAAGAGTGCATGCATCAGCTTCTGCGCATCCTATGGTGTGACAGATTTCCTGATACGGTGGTTCACCGCAGCCACATGTGTGGAATTGATCGTATGCTGTTACTGCGACACTTGAGGTGGTTGGGACTTATCCGCTCTATGAATGTGACGAGGATACCGAAGTGCTTACGAAATGGACCACTGCGTGCATGAAAGTGGAATGTAGGAAAACCGCAACTGCGCTACCAAGGTGAGATTATCACGAACTAATATTGGATTTAGGTGTTGGGAAGCAATGGCAGAAGAATGCTGTAGCCCACGTTCATCAGAAAGAACTGTTGTACTAGGAAGAAAAATGTCGATTACAGAAGTGACAGGCGCCGATGGAGCCTAGCTTATAGACGTCGAGCACATAGTGCTGTAGACATGCGGTCAGTCATCAAAGTGGCCACGAGGGGCCAATATCGAAAGGGCGGCGAGTAGGTTGAACAGGTAAGTATCAATGTATGGTAAGTACGCAGCTTTCGATTCCATTTAGCAACCCAGGTCGATAATGTGGCAGGCTTAACACGTGTGCTACACCATCGCCGCAGTTGGTCTGTCTGTGTACTTGCGTATTCATCTGCTCGCATCTCAAGTGTTTGCTGACTGATGACCACGTTCTGATTGCGCTTGGGGCGAATGCTGATAAAATGCCTACATGTCGAAAACTGCCATAACGATTACTTACTTCGGCATACTGTTAAAAATTGCTGAGAGAGGTGTACATCATCTCCTTGACAATGATAAGCTCAAAGAGTCGTTCAATCCAAAGTGGAAAGAGAGACGGCCCAGCCATCGTCCTGTGTATGTTCGGTATGCATGTTTCCCCCAGTTTCAGAGGATTGACGTGCATGTTGAAAGAGTGTAGGCCGGCTCTAGATCAATCGCGACTCCCATCTTCATGTCTACCAGTCCTATTCCTTCGGGTTAACACTGGATATGGGGTGTGTCGATGGAGCTGTGAGTGGCACAGCAAAAGCCACTCACGACCCCTCAGTAGGTGCAGACGTACTGCGGCTGTTCGCAGTCGTGAATCCCAAAGCGCATGTCACCAATCATTTGAGTTTAAGCTTGGCAAGGGTTCTCACTATAAAAAGTCACATACCTCCGTTTAACAACACTGTGACGTGGTGGATGTCACTTGCCACTATATATATATATATATATATATATATATATATTTGCAACAGTCTACGAATACACATAGAGCCATCAGAAACCATGGGACTCAAAAGAAGGTACAGAAATAGTAGAAGAAAACACAAAAAACACATCAAAGTGAATGGTTTCGTCAGAGGGCGAGATACTACCCGGTTGCCCAAGACGAAGTAGCGCCAATAAATAAAGTCACATTGTATAGCGGCAAGCAATCCGAACATTGGATTCTGCTTTTGACTTCGGAAATGTCGAGGCAATGGTATGGCTTTCGTCATCCGAAAGGCGTGTGAACTGAATCTTCAGTCACCGGTCCCCAACGGGTGCGAAACCCTTATTTCGCCCTGCTGGTTTGTGGGTTAGGCCATTCGGCCAAAGGATCGGGGCCGTGATCACCTAAGACAACACACCTACTTCGGCCTGAGCCACCGAGTAAGATTTCGCCTACTGATGAACCATGGATACGCTACAAGCTATTAAGTAAAAATAGAGTCAGTCAGCCCATGGAAATTAGGGAGGATGATAAGTGCAGTAAAAATGGAATGAATGTTTTGTGCCACTTATCGTTTTCTAATCATTTTAAGGTCAATGATTTGAACATGAGTCAAAGACGAAGTTGTATATAAGCTTCCCATGGAACTTTCTTCGGCCTTGGATCCCCAGCCAAAAAAAAACGCAGAGAGCCGACGATGGCTAGATCGGAGATCAGTTTTTCCGTACTTCGTCACCGAACTGTGTAATGACCATCACGAGGCTTTCTTGAGTGCGATCTTGGGAGAGCAAATTATATGCGGCGCAGTAAACGCTTGAACGACGGAAAAAAGTTGACTAAGTGATCGTGACTGATGCCAAGGCACAAACTTGTCAGAAAAGAGATCACGATTTCCTAAGACATGTCGTCCAGCTAGATTGTTGCAAACCCGGTGCTATCAGCATGCAAGGCGATCCTCTGCGAACATTCATTATCAAAGGCCAACAGCCGGCGAGTTAAATCTAGGTGGACCCATTAGAACTCGTGTTTGAATAGGTGATGATATAAATCGTGCGTTTTAACGACAGCGATGATCAGATGAGGTCACAAATGTCCTAATTGGCCGGCGGCTTGCAAGCTACAAGTAGCTGGTTTGATCCGGTATCCCTTGCCAGCATTCGACTGCTGGTGATCCTTTGGCGGCAAAGCGTCTATACGGAGTATCACCGTACAGTTGGTGTCATTCTTACCAATAATCCAGGTTAGCAGGGAGACTGCAGTAAAAAGGTGAAAGGAGTACAAGAAATCGACAAATTTAAATCCATGGAAAAAGGAATGGGCAGAAAAGTAAGCTCTTTGAGCTGAGTCGATAAAAAGCAAGTTAGCTCTGATATATTGGAATCTGTTTGGAACCAATCGGTAAGTCATCGGTTCAGAAGACTTGGTGGACGATCGGTTAATGTGAGCCCAACAAATACATTAAGCGGTCGTTCGCTAAGCTTTCTGCAATCAGTTACACATATGCATTGCGAGATGTGCAAGCTCCTCGTAAAGCAGGACAACAGTTGAATGGAGATCAGAAATGTATCAAGCTGCTGTCCAATAACTACGGCCCACTGAATTTGGGACGCGATAAAGCATATCTCGGTTGCAATGCAATCGAGTCTGAATATTGATTGATAAAATATCCCGGGCGTAGACATCAAAAAAGAGCTGGCGAACAAGTTCTTGTTTTCAGTGGTACATCATCATGCTAATACATTACGAATGAATGAAATAGTAATGTAAACAACAGATAAGGGTACATGTACGGAAGCCTAAATGGACTGTGTCCAAGCTAGGTGATTGGTCCCACAGCGACCAATTGGTGTGTGTGTGTGTGTGTGGTGTTAACCACACAATGTGTCAGTGTTACAGGGGGTCAGGGTAGGGTGAGTGCCCGGACGAATTTCTTATGTGCACACGTCCGGGTCATGAAGCCGAATGGCAATCGCTTCGGCCGCTGCCAGTAGACGAAATCTGACCGCTCGTGTTTGGCATCTGGGTACGCCGTAGATAGGATGGAACGCCTCGCGTGCATCGACCTGGTGATTTGAATCAACCAAATTTGCAGACACGGCACTTGTCACTGTTCTAGTCAATCCGCTATACAGCGAAGCTGGACAGCGCCCCCAGGCTCTCTCGGATAGTCTCCTCGTGATTCTTCCGGTATATATTGATCGACACAAAAGGAAATCCTTGACCGCGGAATCCTTAAGTTGTTGCTTCATAATTGGCACTGAGTCAAAGCTTAACAGTAAACTTGCTGCGTAGTAGGTCACAGCAATGCAACAAAAAATTGTTAGATGTTGATTCCGCTATCCCGTCCCCTTTGTACGGTAGCGATGGATAAAGGGGCTCCTTGTCCACTGAAAACAATGTACTCTGTTTCCCGAGGCTCCATACTCATCCGAACGAACTTTTCCGGATAGCCATTTCTCCCAACTAGGCTCCATACGAAGTTTAGTTCGTCCGCGAGTGTGCCCTCGCTACATATCTTCCTTGCTCGCTCTATTAGACATCAAACAACTTTGCGTTTCTAATTGGGACGAAGCTGGCAAAATGCGTGGATTGCCCGTACCGCGTTGCTTTTCCAGGAACACTCCGTTTGACCGACGCGTCCGATATTCTGATCGTCTGAACGTCTAAGAGTGACATGGCGTTGTTGCATTCAGATTCCAGGGTGAATTTTATGTTATCGTGAGTCGTTAAACTGCGTCAATAGTTCTGCCGTACACAGGTGACTATCTGCGATGCAGAATATATCGTCTACACAACACCCGCAGTAGGCTAAGTCAGTACTAACTGCTCAGACAGTATTTTTCCAAGTTTTCCAGTTTAGACATCAAAAAATCTATATACCAAGAATATACTTCTTGAGTGGACGACAAAGGGTACACACGAAAAAGCAGCCATAGGCTAGAGCTTGGGTTTGGTGTATATTGCACTGAGCGTGCATGTGGTAAGAACTCAGTGATGCCAGCTGCATACGCAAACCCAATGAATTATAATGGCTCGGTGTCAAGATGTGGACAATAGGCAGGACCGACAGACTGTAACGGGACTGGTAACAGGGATAATATTTTCATGAAACTTCAGGTCGTCTGTTTGTGCAAAAGTGCATACTGATCATGATCGAATATTCTGTGCTGAGAGAAATGTGATTGACCATCGGATGAGAATCGTGGTAGAAGTAACAATCAAACCGTTGGAGAAAATGCATTAGAAACGAACGCCTCACTCACCACGATCGTCCGTCCGTCAGATGTGATCACATTGACCATCCCTGTAACGTTGGCATGGTGAAAAGCTACGTGAAGGAAAACGGGATGAAGAGGAATCGGGGAGAAAACAACATAGTTCAGCCGGAATGGAGAAAGATTTAACTTGTCCATCAATATGGACCGGTCCAAATAGAGATAAGGCACGATGAGGAGGAATTTCCTGTCATATTCATCTACCGAGTATACGACCACATAACGACCCGTACTTGCTACCATCTTGAATACTGCCGGGTTGACTGGTGGAGATGAACACCGGGAGTCAAGCCAACCTTTGTTGAGAGCTTGGTTCAAACGTTTCGGTAACTATCCAATAAGGGGATTTGGTTAGCTATAGGGGCAGGCAGGAGTAACACGTTGTAACGTAGGTGCGAGATGTTGGTAAAACGGTTCTGGACAACAAAAGTGGTCAAACGATAGTGTGGACTATGGTGTTCTTATCGCCTGATGTGTAGTTGGGCAGGCCCTCAGCCTTAGAGATCACAAGCCTGCCTTGTAATCCGCGGGCGCGGGTTCTAGCCTGCGTAGGGACGGGCGAGCCTCGCAGAATTCTTAACCAATGTGCGACTGGCAGTGTTTGGGCGGCAGCAAAGCGTCAGTAGTGCTTACCGGCGTACCGTTGATGCCTGTGTAGTTGGATTGCAGGCTTGTTTTAACTCAGAGTGGTTTACTAGTAGAGATCGATGCTATAAGGTACGAAAAATGACCGTAGACTCTAAGAGTGCAGGTTAAACCTGAAACTCCAGGGGCAGGTGAATATTCTGATGTAGCCAATGTTCATGGATGCACATATTAGTTTGTATTTGCAGTGCAAAATGAAGGAATTAAAGATGAAGCTAATTTCGGTTGTTCGGTTTCGCTTACCATGACAGGCTCAGCGTGACTCATTCTGTGCTTGCCGCGAAGACCCGCAGGACACAACACACAACCATCACCAGTGAGGAAGTAACAGCAGTCTCGTGGCGGAACCGCGTGTCAACGGTGCGTATCGGGCTGGGTTATCTGTGGAGCAATGCTGAAGAGGAATCGTGGCAGTGAATGGGCCACGAGGTAGCTACACCACTAATTCCCCCTCAGCTTCAAAGAACGGACGGTTGCCTGTGACTGCGTGTTGCTAGTAATGTGAAGGCGCCGTGCCGCTGAATGTTTGCTTACGGTGTTTTGATATTGTAACAGGTCTATCCTATTTTCTACGACCCATTTCTCATCAGAGGGCTCAACATTATTGTATGACAGTGCGACATCGCGAAATGCGGCCACAAACATAATAATAGGACTGGATCGGGGGAAAGTAGTTAAGAGGCTACAGCCGCGTAGTGGGAGAAATGCGATCACATAAACTCGGGACTGTGCGTACAGGCCGGCATCGGACAGCAAGGACGCCTGTTGCAATATGGATGTAGCAAGCGAGTGATTCGTTCCGAGGAACAGAGCCAAACACGGAAAATGTGCACCGATCCAACCTGTGTGGGACATGAGAAAGTGAAAAAGGATACGGCCAACGTAAGCCTCCAATTCCGATGCCATGTTAGAGTGGCTACAAGAGTAAAAAGCAGAAGTGTGGGTTAACATGCGCCTCGTAGGTGACTAGAATAAGGTATACAACATGGAAAGAACAAGTGGTAGCAGTACAAAAGGCGCACATCGTTCAGATGGTTGTGCGCTACATCTAATGCAATGGTAAGCAGGCCACATCAACCACATGCTCTGACCTGCAAGTGTGTCGATACAGGGGAGTCACCAGTATGGTCAACGAATGCAGAGACCCGAAAACGAAGTGGAGCGAAGCAGTAATGATAATAATAATGGTAGCAATAGCAAGTCACTGTTGAGCTATTTTCGGAGCACACGGTATGTGCATAGCCTAGAGCTCAAAGTTCGGGAGACCATACCCGTTCAGGCATAGATCGAGCTAAACAGATAGTTACATGCCCATGTATGATGGAGGTGTAATCAAAAGACGAAGAAGAAAATTGCGGGGCCTGTTTCAGTGAGCCATATGCAACTCCCATGAAGGATGTACTGATCGATGCTTATGTATGTAACATAAAATTTTAGCTGCAAGTGCGTATCGACCGTGAAACGTACACGTGAAAAGTAAGTGCGGCAAGCTCAAGCACCACAGTAGTCTATCCGAAGGTGAAGGGTAAAGGCCGAAAGAGGTGATATTGGCTGGATGTGATAGGAAATGTAAACAGAGACCGTTAAATCCTTTCGTGGGTTAGGTAGCTGCGCGCTGGTTTCATCATTCTTATCGTTCGACCTCAGTGCGCTTGCGAATCCCCTTTCGTATGCCATATTCGGTTGTTAGCCAAGCTACACAATGCGCGCAGCGTCCCAGTGTTACAGGCAATCTCGCAGTCCCCACTATACACTCTGTGTGCACAATCTTTGCTCGTTTGATACACCTGTTGTCCGAGTGGATTGTGAAGCGCAAGTAGAAGCTAGACATCAGAAGGTAGTTGAAACAGATAAATGTCAGCTATTGTCTGCTCGCAACGCACCAACCGACGATTGAGTTCGTAACTGTTCGCTTTCACCAGGTAGAAGGTCAAACTGCGAGGCAATCCCGGTGCGTGCAGATGCCGATAGACACCATTTGCTCCTACGCACTGGGCTTCATGGGCAAGGCCTGTCAGAACGGTTAGTGACGAATTGTTTATTCAACTGAAGCACCCGAAGTATCGATGGATTCCTGTGTGCTCCTAGTAACAATGATAGCCTGTAGTAGGTACATTCAAACCGAAGTTGACCGTTTGGTTCTTCCTTATTTTAATGTTCACTATGTATGTCTTATGGATGCAGACTTCCGTAGGTTGAGCATCACTCCATGTCGACCAACTTGGTCAACTGTAGCTCCATGCAGCTTTGTATTTGACAAAAATGTACTGCCTGATAGGTTGCATTGCAGCTTGGTGTCCTATGTTATATTTCTTGTCCTGAAGTGCGCGTGAGAACCTTTGTCAAAATACGGTTCGAGGTGACCCATGCCGAACGATGTCATACAAGTGTGATCACAAGCATCACTAACCTCAAGTAAAAGTCGCTTCCTGATGAAGGCTCCAGAAAGACAGCGCAGCAGTATTAATACTATAATTGTGCAAATCTACAAAAAACATAACTGCAGGAAGCTAAGATTGCACAAGTCACCAGCATCATCGCAAACAACAACAGCACAGTGCTTCATCACTATATGCCAAAGGCAAAGACACTTTTAATCCCACTGGTGTCAGTGATATTCTCAGCGCAACCCAGCTTGTCCTACATACGCTTGATTCATGACGTTCCAAGTGGAAAAGGTCACTCTCCGTTGAAAAACGCCATATGGTATCCTAGATATGTGAACGGTAAACCACTGTATCACGGCCATAGCATCTGCGACCTACTACTTGAACACTTAACTCCGTTGATCACGCCGGACGTAATGCAGCTCAAGCTCGTCGGAGCATCTGGTTCCTGAAGGGGTCAATTAACGCAACGTACAAGATACAAACATGTCCATTAGTAGATTAGGGCTCCATAATATATTGCAATTCCCATGAGTGATCAGATAGCGTTAGGGCGAGTGCAACGATCATTCACTAAACGTCTCCTGTCCTATTCCGCTACACTATCATATATGGATCGATCCATCACCTTAAAACGACCTATTATGGCTGCGTCGAATGAGAATTTTATCGTTTCTCTTGATAACAAACAACAATGTTCAAATCCAGTACAGTAATTATTGGTAAATCATTGCACCAGAAACAACAACAACGAAGTGATAGGGAAAAGATCAAGTTCAAGTTCAGTTGGGACCGGAACGATGGGGTAATCCCGTGAATGTTCCTTCTTTTGCGTATCGTCGGATCGGGAAGTAATAGGTCTGCTTGAAATATTGAAAAGCCTAAAACAGAGACCGCATCACACCCTGTCCAACCAATTACTGCTCACATTTTTGTGCCCAGCAGTCCCTGCCAGGCCGGTTTATGTGAAGCAAAAGAGTGAAGGGTAAGCTAAGAAAACAAGAGGAGGAATGTCAGCTAAATAATAATAATACCAAGGTATGAGAATTAGAAAAAAACGAACGGAAAGTTGAAGATACAAGTCAGTTAGGAGAAGGGGAAGGTTTGGTACTGCCACCCAAGAGCATTTAATTGGCGCTCGAAACCCTCTACCGTAGCCTCCCTAACGACGTGCTCCGGAAGCGAGTTCCAACGTTTAATAACTCGGCGCGACAAGCGAGTTTCCGTCCTTACCCGGTCAGAACGCAGTTTGTGCAGCTTCAACGGGTGACCTCGGAGACTAGGCAGCTTGGCGGGACTAAATAGCCAGGACAAGTCTGGACCGATCTTACCTGTTAAGATACAGTAAGTGAGGATCAAGTCTCCTCTAATTCTGCGGTAGTACATTGAGTACATACCCAATGAAGCAGTCGAATAACTTTTCCAAACCGATGCTTAGCATCATGGGAGAGGATTCCAAGTGAGATATCCGAAATCCGGTCAGAGATGAAGTTTCGAAAGGTTTTACATTCATTTTGCAACAGTGAAATGGTTATTAGTATAATGAAACCAAATATGACAAATAAATGTCGCAATGCAATCAGAGCGAAATAACCATGATTTAGATGTTCGGTTACTTCTCTTTTGCTTGACTCCATTGGAATTCACGCAGTTAGCAATGCCATTAAGTCTATTTGTTTAATAACGAGAATTTTCCCGGAGGCCACAACTCAGGTACACGCTGCAGTTTTCCATTCTCCCCGAAATGCACGACTTTAGTTTATCTGCTTTTCGATTGGTTTCACTTGAAGGAACCACCAAAAAAATCTTCCAGAGGCTGCACTGTTTATAAATCATTCAAATATTGATTTTCTCTTCGTTTACTTGTATAAACTAAAACAGAGAACCGCCAGACTATATGTCCTTCTAGAGAAGCATAGAACATTTACTCCATGCAATTTTCATTAAATTTCATTATTTCTTTTGCTCCATGGTTGTTCAAGACTGGACCGATCTCTTGAGGTAATAGATTGAAGCTGACAAGTTTAGTAATAACACGCACGCAAGGCGAATTACAACCAACCCATTGGTTAAATACTAAAGGTGCTGGACAAATGAGTCGGATATGCGAACGGGCTGAATGGCAAAAAAAACAGTAGCCCCAAGGACGAGTTAGTACGGTGTTGGCCTACTTATTATTTAGCAACAGTGTCACTAGGATGACCTGCTTTGCTTACAACAGCGGCCATAAAACAGTCTACATGATGATGAATTATTGCTTATAACACCGAGCATAAGAAATGTCTTTATAATAACAGTCTATTGCCTATGACAGTGGCCAAACTTGAGTCAAGGTGACGACAGCTTACTTGCTTCTAAGCCACATCGGTACACGACCAGCTGTGTCGTGGAAGTGCGGGTGAAACTTTCCAAGGAACGCCTCTGCATGGAAGTAGGTACCCAAGAAACAGTTCCTAAATTGGCTGTGTTACTTCAATTGAACGTTCGACTATACCTACAATTAATCTTATTGTCAACCTTTCTAGTACATTAAACTGGTCAACAATTTTGAAAACGCGTTTAGAAACCAACTTCAAAAATAAAACTATTATCTATCACATGTGATACCGCTGTGCAAACTGATCAGACTACTTAGTGCATTGTATCTCATACCGTACAGCAATATACTATTAATCCATCCTAGAGACAGAGTGTCGACAGTGAGAAAGCGCCCTTGCGGCTTTCATTCGCCCGGGTCCTGATCAACCTTACTCCACAGATAGCTCAACGCTATAAACACGTCAAAAAGCAACCCTAAAAGACGACTGCAAAAGTGATCCTAGGGTGGGTTGCAGGTTATGTTCTGTAAAGCCTGTGCGAAAGGGTGAACCCCGGTCTGGAAGACCGGGCCAGTTGATAACAAACAGGTATTAGTCGGTGAGTTCGTTTCATGTCACTAGATCAACGGGTGACTCCACCCTCAAGAACCCCAAGCCAACTTGTATTCGGTAAACAAAACCAAGCCCTCCATTGTGGCGGTTAGCGGGCATTGGCAGTGTATGCAACCTATTTACTGGTATCTGCTTAGCTAAGGAGGCAACCTGATGGTCGCGGTAGGACAGTAGTTCGTATACGTCGTTGTTGTGGGCACGCTAGTATATTCTACATCAGAAACAATTTGTAAGGTGACCGGCAGAAAAGCCAGGAGAAAACTACGCATAGCAAAAACATAAATACTCTCATGGAAGAATGTCCAGACTAAGAACAGACCACACGAAAAAATTGCCCATTTGAGGTCTACACATTAGAAGTTTTGGCAAATTCGTCACAATTAACGATATTCGTTGGTGGTTGTACTACTAATATGCCAATGTTGACCTTTGCCTCCAACAGCTGCGGAAACATAACTTGCAGTTACAGACTGTTTTAGTAACATTAAGGTTACCCAATAGTTCGATCGCTCGACACGTACTAGACTGCTCTACGTACCACACGCAGCGTGATTCAAATACAATACTAAACAGACAGAGCTCTGCTCTTACACTACAAC